CCCCCTCTCTTACAATTACCTTTCACCTTCATTTTCTCGCTTATTTTTGCAAATACGAAGATACACCTTACAACATTTTTTATGTATTTTTTAATTTAACACAACTTTAGTTTGAAACTTTTTTTGATTCAATGCCTAGATTATAAGATACGGCTTTTTTACCCTTTTTTACCCTTTTTTTCATTACCTTGGGATCTGATGGCAAAAAAAATAGCACCATTCGATTTAGCGTCGTCGAATTACCATTATATCAAGTTTTCCCAATCTAGCTAAATTTTCCAAGTTTTCCTTTATTGACTGGACTAAATATATATTTAATATATAAAATAATAACTTTAAATAAGTTATTTAATTAATTAAATTAGCTACAATTTTAATAAGTTTAAATAATAAATTTATTTTAACAATAATAACTTTATTTATTATAATAATAATTGAATTCGTATCTTTTTCTATATTACCTTCTTATATTCAGACAGTTGAGAAAACGCATGTACAGTACAGAAAGTGAAGATTATTTTATAACCATACTAACATACACCTATTGTGGTTTGTTTCATTGCTTCCTCTGTCTCCCCTCTATTAGATCTAAAAATAACAAATTGAAACACATTTCATAAATAATCAAAACCTTCTGTGCATTTTATAGATTTATCGGAATATATACATTGACCGTAACATATACAAAAACTGATATCGAAAAAATGGATTGATTCGCATACTTCGTTTAGGAGCAAAAGCGTTGAAAGAAAATTATATATTCCGTTGCTGATAATAAGTTATTGTAAAGAATCGTTTTCACATTTCCTAACACTACGAAAAGAACAATGATTTGTTGATGAAATTCTCCGATTTCATTTCTAATTTCAGAAATGGCCGAAGAGACACTGTTATGGCTGAGCCGCGAGTTTTTGGAAAATATGTTGCGGAAGGCGAAAAATGACAATTCGATCCGTGTGATCGATATATTTTCAAAACCGGCGACGGCTAAGGGGGACAACTATAGTAGCGATATGTACAGAGTTTCAGTTGAATTTGCGTCGAAACAAGATGACCGAGAAGTTATGAACAAAATATCCTTCATCGTTAAAGTCGCACCATCGGCAGATACTGTACAAAGAAAAATGGTTGGTGGTACTGTCTTTTTTTTTTTAAATTAGATTTACGATTGAGATCACGAAGTCTAGATACAAGGAGGACAATCGAAATATGCGTTTTCGCTGAATTTGTGTTGTGAAAAATGAGAAAATAGCAAGTACGATAATTCTCCACGAGGGGGACGGTGGTGTTCAGGAGTTCAGATTTTAGTACGTGTGATTTTATAAATAAACAAATAGTTGTTAGGGCGAGGTTAACGTAACTGTGATTATATATATTAATAATTTATTATATTAAGAAAAGAAAACAATATTATTTCTGTTAAATATATAAAATTTATAATCTTATAGGAGGTATATTTATTGCTATTAGATCAGCTACTCCGTTAATTATGGTATCGATTAATTTTCTTACAGCTCAACAGGTTATTTTATATTGTTGATTTTGTGGTTTAGTGTTTAAGCTAACTGGCAATTACATTTTACATGTAGTATTATTCATTTTTATACTAACTGAGTTCAAGATAAATTGATTCCATTTCACAATTTTTTGACAGATATGATGATCTATCGACATTTTTTTCATGCTATTGTTATTTTTTCTTGACTTAGTGATATCATAACCAATTATCCCATTTTCTTTAGTTTATAATTTTGTATTTACTTCGTCGACTTATTTATTTATTTTTTTCCTTAGTTAAAGGTACAACTATATATTAGCCGTTTATTTTGAAAGTGGCATAAGTCACTTTTTTCTTTCTTTTAAAAATGATAAGATACCGTTCAATTGTATTTAGTGTTGCCATGTACACGATTTTTTTTGAAAAGTGACTTCTGCCACTTTCAAAATAAACGGCTCATTGTATTTGAAAAATCAGATCCATCGAATCGACACGCACTCTAATGGCAATAGAAATCATCCTTTCATACTGCATATACGTAGACACATTTATAATACTACGATCGTTCTCTTTGATTAGCCTCGTTATTGAGAGTAAGAATAAAGAAAGACAATCTGAACGTACGATGAAACGGGTAATTAATTCTTTGCACTCGGGCACCATTTCGGAAGTTACCTACCGGCAATTCGATGCTGTTCTTGAGCCAATATATTATATATTAGCATAACTTTTGAATTAAGTAAGGTATTGTGACGATGTTTGATTTTTCTAAATTTGTCGACGTCAATGAACATATATATTTGCAAACAAATCAGAATTTTTTTGTTAATATTTTGTACAGTTATATGTTAGACTTACGTTGTCACGACTGCAGTGACAGCCGAGTGCAAAGGGTAAAATTAAAAAAATACGATCAATAATATAATACGTCGAAATGTTCGCCTAGGTCGAGCAATCAAAGATCTTCGAAACGGAAATATCGATGATGGAGAACCTGTTGAAGAAAATGAACGATCTAGTTGGACCAGCTCATATTCTCGGTGCACAGATCTTCTACAGTAAGAAAGACTATCCAGGGTTTCTAGTGATAGAGGATCTAGCTCCACTTGGATTTCGCATGGCTAACCGTCAAGCTAGTCTTGATCTTCCTCACTCCTTGTGTGCGATGCGAGGATTGGCTAGATTTCATGCGAGTAGTTTGGCCATATGCGAAAAGGTAAGAATCTATTTTATTAAAAAAAGTGGTTTTTCACCTACAGGAGATATTACGGTTGTACACCAACGGATTTTTACGAGCTTTGGTATATTAGTAGTATACCTTTAAAGTATTCTCGTGGTAAAATATTTCGGTGAACTGGCCAGCTATGATAATTTTGAGAAATAATCTTTCAAAATTTGTTTTTTTTTGTACACGTGCTTAGTGGTAGTAGCGTTTCCGGCTGTCGATCCGATGGATTAGTGTCCGATTCTTCTTGGGGGAATCTTTTTTTTTATAAGTTATTTAAATATATAAATTTAAAAAAATTTTCTTTACATTTATTATTATTTATTAAATATTTTTATTGGAAT